GCTCCAAAATGATGCAAATCACTTGCTGGTAACATGAGGAGTGTGAATGGTTGGGATTTCATCCTTGTTTGATCTCAATGGTTGATATTTCAAGTGTGACTTAAGCTTGAAGAAATATTGAAAATGGCTCATCAAAACTCACCAAATTCAAATTCTATCATAGCCATTGTGTTTGAAACATAATTTGCACTCAAAATATGTATCTACTTGCATAAAAATGATCCATAATGAATAAAATCCAATTTTCTCATTTTAAAGCTTTTTCCATGAAAATCACTTTGGGAATTCACCATTCCAAGCCAAATTCATGACTTCTCAAGGGTTGGTTGAACAATTGACACCATTTGAAGCACATTTGATGTTGGAAAAATCTCCATTTGAAGTGTGCAAGTTGGTGAAATGGACCTATAATTTTATGACCTATGATCTCACTTTCCCAAAATACCCCTGACTTGCAAGCCTCATGACTTGAGTTCTACATCTCAGATGAAAGACTTCTAGTACTATTTGGAAAGCTAAGACCATGAGCTACAACTTTCATGTTCATCAAAAGTTGAGGAGAAACATCTTTCTAGGTCAAAAATGGCTTGGAAGTTGGTTGACTTTGGTTGACCAAAATCACATTCATCTGATGACCTGTAACTTCTCTGTATCATAACTTAAGTTCTATAAACTCAATCAAGGAGTTATAGTACTCAAAAGAAATCTAAGAACATGCTCTACAAGTTTCATTTTGATCAAAAGTTGAGATGAGACTTGTATCTTGAGATAGGTGGTCTTGAGTTGGGTACTAAATATGGGATTTTACATTGAGAACCCTAATTTAGTAACTTCTCACACTCTTGATTCTTGATGAATTGATCTTGAAATGATATCTCATGTATCTTAACATAACATTCCATGGCCACAAAGACTTGGAATTGAGTCTTAATCTCTTTCAATTTCACAGTTGATTGAGGATTAACCAGATGAAAACCCTAGATGCAACATTCTTGACTGTGGCTTCTTCCACCTCACACAACAACTTGAAATAGCTCCAACATGGCTCTCAAAACACTCAATGAGCTCTCTCAACATCCCATACCCAAAATTATGAATTCACAATCCTCTGATGATCTTGAACTGGTCTCCAAGTTAGGAGCTGATCCACATACATCCATCAATCCTTTCACATGACTATTGCCCACTTCTAGATGACCTGATGACCATTCAAACTTGAGTAACTCCCCTTGCTTAGGCTCAACACTCTGAGTAGACTCCTCTTGCTATGCACAACCTATTGATCCCCTGTTCAATGAAAAATGCTATGCAATGCAAATGCTAGAAAGAAATGAAATGAAACATAAACCAAGTTAAGAAGAGGTTGGGCAAATTTTGGGGTGCAACAGCGTGCATATGCTTTTTTGTCTTCTTTGACTATTTCTTTCCAGGAGAGGAATGTTCAGACATATCCTTTTTGTTCTGAAATCCTGTCCCATACACAAAAGAGGAATAATGCCATTGGATGTAGACAAAGAATTTAGCAACGAATCTTTCTTGATCAACATCATTTTAAATGAACGAATATGGAAATATTTCCTGCATCAGATCCTCTGATGATGTTCCATTTTCTTCTTATCAGAGTAACTCTCTTCCAGAGTTCTGCAGCTTAGTGCTAACGTGATTGTTTTAACAAACTGTTCATCCAGAGGAGCGCTTTAGATCAGAGAAGATCTTCGCTCTTACGTGTTATCCGTGTTATCCAAATGTATCACATTGTTACTAACGTTTCAGAGCCTTACGTGTTTCGATTCTCAGAGCCTCTGCAGTTGCAGCGTTGAGTTTAGTACGCTCAGAGTTTTCTGAATCTTCGCTTTATACTCTACGCTCAGAGCCTTCTGTAGCTTCACTCTTTTACCAAAGGCTCAGAGTCTTCTGCGTGTTATAGCTTAACGAGGAATATTCCGTTCAGAGGAATATTTATTATGTTATCTAAAACAAAAACACTTGAACAAAATTAGAGTATATATTTTCTCCATACAAAATTTCATTATTGTTATCATCAAAATATTGAGATATATTAAGAACCAATCTGTGTTCTAACAGTTTCTCCTAGAGTTCCAGAGGTGTATTGCTTTGTTTTTCTATTTACCCCTTTAGATTTCACAAATTTCGTAGGTATTCGCATTTTATATGACCCTTCGTCATAGTTTTCTTATCATTGTTCTAGTTTCCTCCAAGTATTGTTTCTCTCCCTTTTGTTTACTGTTGTCGCTTCCTATTCTTTTCATAGTAACACACCTTGTGTGTGATCAGCCTACATACATTGTACATATATCTAGTGGTGGTATTTTAAGTGATACCTATAAATATTGATTGACCCTCCATTAACTGTCTCCCAAACTAGAGTTGTCAAAATGGGCTACCCAGTCGTAAACAGGTCGGCCCTGGAGGGCTTCAAGCTTTTTAGGGTTGGGCCAAAAAACCTCTGTTGTAATATGGGCTTGAAAATTACTACCCGAGCCCAGCCCTAGAAGGACTTTGAGTTACCCAGCCCTAAACGCTTTTTTAAATAAAAAATAAAATAAAAACCCATAATATTTATCATAAATGAAATTAAAAATTATATTATTTTAAATATAATACACTTTTAAGTAATATATTATCTTTTATAAATATTATATTTTGTTTTTAAATACAACCCATGTCTATATTCTATAAAATAATATTCAAACATTTAACATAATAATACGAGGAAAGAGTGGTGATAATATTAATGTATAAGATTTAAAAGAAAAAGATTAAATATAATAGAGATAAAATTTAATAACGTGAGAAAAATTAATGTGTTATTTTGGAATAAGAAATATAAGTATTAATATAATTTTTATTTTTGAAATTTTTAGCTATGTGGGCCTAACGGGCTACCCACAACCCAAACGGACTAGCCCTAATGAGTAACGTGCTTTTTAGGGCCAATCTAATAAAGCCCTGAAAAACATAGGCTCTAATTTTATGGCCCAAACCCTACGATTTTTTGGAGCAACCTATATGGGCTAACCCATTTTGAGAGCTCTAGCCCAAACCCTTGCAAACCTTATTGTTCTTAGTAATGGTTCTAAATCTAGGAGATTCTTTCGAAGATGGTAGCAAACCCTTGAGTTCCTAGTATGAGGGAAACACAAATGGTCACGTTGAAGGAGTTAGTGAGGTTTATATAGATCTTTCCATTATTAGAGAAGTTGGATCCGACCCCTCGTCTTCTACAAGGTACGAGGCTGATCTTGGGTCCACCGAGGCATACCAGAATGATTTAAGGATTTATTCTTAAATTAAAGCTTTTAAATCTTTGAATGATTGAGAACCAACCATCAAAGAAGTTAGGAAGCATCTTAACATTTTGAGTCGTCCCAAGACTTATCTCTCTTATATTTTTGTTGATAGTGGGGAAAACATGGTTCAAAAGGACCAACGAGAACTTGAATTGCCAGCTGAGTTTGCTCAACACCTTTGGCTGGAAGTAGAATTGGTGTTGAAGACTTATGTCTTCAAGTGTGATCAAAGTCCGGAGAGTGCTTATTTGGACGTGTGATCGTCTTTTGAATGGATTGTGTCTCACATCTCACGCAACAAGAGGGTGTGTAGCTCATTTGATGCGAGTTCGACACCTCTTTTTGAATTCATATATTCTAGGTCGGGGTTTAGATATCCTTTCAATGACTTTTAAATGGAAGTATTGAATCATTTGAAAATTCCTCCATCCTAACTGTACCCGATAGCGTGAGACTTTATTAAAGTGTTCTAGTATTGGTGTGAGTATCAAGATAGAGTATAATATTTGAGATTATTTTTCAACATTTTCAATTTAATATTAATAAATATTAAAAAAATTTATAAAAAAATCAAATCAATTAAAAAAAAGCTATGATAAAAACCCAAATAATTAAAAAAAAAAGATTGATTAAAGTCAAAATAATAAAATTAATATTTTTTTATTAATATATAATTAAATTTTTGATGTATCATTTTAAATTATTATAATTATATTTTTAAAAAAATTTTTAATCCATTTTTAAATTAGAACTGAACCTCTCGAATTTGATTCGGCCGGCCCTAAACCTATTATATGAAAGAGGGATTTTGATCCTCTCCTTTTTTATATATCATGCCATCTCTCATGTTTCTAATCTAACGGTTCAAAATTTATAATGAATAATTAAATAAAAAAATCATTTAATAGAAGAGTTTGATTCATCAGGCCCATTAGACTTTGACGGGGACTGGGACGATATCGACGAGGACGAGAGGGGGGACTCCAACGTTCTATTTAATGTCCCTAATGAGAATGATTCCGATATAGCGTCTGTTGTTGGAAACAGCTTTGTTACGAGTGAAGCAGGTGAAGTTGTTTTTGAGACTATGTTGGGGAACTCTGTAGAAAACTGTGTTTCTGTTGGTCACAAGAATGATTCTGGCCCGACTGAGATTGAGCTTAATCAGGTCCTCACGAAAGTTAATATCAGTAGTGCTCATGGGGATCCTGCTGCGAATTTGAGAATGCTAGCTCCTATTGTTGGTAATCCTGATGGATTCTTCGGGCCTGTTTCTGTTGGAAAATCCAAGAAGAAGAAATTGCTTCATGAGATTTATAAAAGCATCAAGATCCCATATAACCCTTCCTATTACACAAATCTTCTGATCTCGGCATCAAATGGTTTCGCAGCGGTTTCGAGGGAGTTTCCAGACAAAGAGGATAGGAATAAGTCTGTTCGGATACTTAATTCTCGTTAATCTAGTTCAGAACCCTTGGGTGGAGAATCAATAACTGATACGGATGTGGATAGAGTTAATTTGCATTGTAAAAGGGCGATTGATGATATTCCAGTGAAATTGAGAAATTACCTATTGGACCTTGGGATTCATGGTGATGAGGACAACGAGTTAGGTAACACTCTTAGGAAAATGGATAGCGAGGATTGTGCTGCAAGAGTCGGCAAGAAGGTTGTAGCTACTAGTGGATTATGAATATAGTGTCATACAACGTTAGAGGTTGCTGTAGTTCATTGAAGAGACGGAGAATCTCTCAAACTCTACAGAGAGGCAATGCTGATATCTGTCTTATTCAGGAATCTAAAGTAACGAATATGGAGAACGGTTTAGCTTGTAGTATTTGGAAGGACTCAGATGTGGAATGGTCAGCCCTTAACTCTAATGGCAGATCTGGAGGAATCATTACTCTGTGGAATAAAACGGAAGTTTCATCCTTATTTAGCTTCTGCGGTGCCGGTTTTTTGGGCATCCAATTCCTGTGGAAGAATCAAAACCTTATTGTGGTTAACGTTTATGCTCCGTGCAGTTCCGTGGACAGAAGGAAGTTATGGAGGGATCTTATTAAAATTAAAAGTAATTTACCAGGAGCTGGTTGGATCGTGGCGGGTGATTTCAACGAGATTATGAATGAGGAGGAAAGAAAAGGTAGTAGCGTTAACAGTTTGAAGGACATGGAGGTTTTTAGAGAGTTTATTGCCGAGATGAATTTAACGGATCTGCCGGCGGTTGGGAATAAGTTTACTTGGTTCAACTCCAGCGGAAACTGCAGAAGTAGATTGGACAGGTTCTTGGTGGATGATACTGCAATATCAATGCTCTCTCTATTAAATCAATTGGTGGGAGATAGAGATGTCTCAGACCACAAGCCAGTGTGGTTGAAGTCGAATTTTGTGAACTGGGGGCCAAAACCTTTCAGGTCCTTCAATTGTTGGCTGTCTCATAAGGATTTTATCCCTTTCGTTAAGAAGTCGTGGTGTTCGTACCATGTCTCTGGTTCTCACTGTAACATTCTGATAAAGAAATTCTCAACCTTAAAAAGCGACATCCGGAACTGGAACCGTAATGTCTTTGGATGGCTGGATTTAAAGATAGAAGAGAATGTTTCTAACCTTAATTCGTTAGAGATGAACATTGACTTGATTTCTTCCTCCAACTTAGCAGAGTTGAACAAGGATAGGCTGAGAGCTCAGGAGGAGATGTGGAAGAACCTCAGAATTAAAGAAAGCATGCTGGCTCAAAAATCCCGTTTAAAGTGGCTGCAAGATGGGGATCATAATTCCAAGTTTTTCCATGATTCTTTAAGAGCTAGATATCGGTCAAACTGCATTTCTGCTATTAGAATGGGAGTAGGTTTAGTGGAAGAACCTGATGCTATTAAAAGTGAAGCAGTAAAGTATTTTAAGGAGAGATTCAAGTCTAATTCATCGCCAAAGTTCACATTCGATTTCGATCATATTGTTTGTTTAGCTGAGGAAGACAGGAACTGCCTGGAAGCTGACTTCAGTCATGCAGAAGTCAGATCTGCTGTTTTCAGTTGTGACGGAAACAAATGCCCCGGTACCGATGGCTTTAACTTCTCTTTTATTAAATCTTGCTGGGAGATTCTGGGCGAAGATTTCTCGAATTGCATCTTGGAGTTCTTCAACACTGGTTACCTTCTGAAATCCTTCGCTTCTTCTTTCATCTCACTTGTTCCGAAAACTAAAAATCCACAACATTTCGAAGATTTTAGACCTATTACTCTTGTTAGTTGTGTGCTGAAGGTTATCTCAAAGATGCTCGCGTCCAGGCTTAGGAAGGTTATTCACAAAATTATTTCCCCTTCTCAAACTGCGTTCATCCCGGAACGACAGATATATGACGGTGTTCTGTTAGCTAACGAGGTGGCTGATTTTGCAAAGAGATCCAAGATGGGTTGTTTTTTCTTCAAAGTAGATTTCGCGAAAGCTTATGACTGTGTGGATTGGTTCTATTTAGATGCTCTTCTTGTTAAGATGGGGTTTGGAACAAAGTGGATGAAATGGATACGTGGCTCAGTTTTCAATAGCTTTGTCTCCATTCTCATCAATGGCAGTCCGTCGAAGGATTTTAGGACTGGCAGGGGTCTGAAGCAGGGCGACCCTCTCGCTCCTTTCCTGTTCGCAATAGTTGCTGAAGGTCTGTCAAGTTTGGTGAAATCAGCGGTTGATAGTAATATGCTATCCCAATTCTTGATTCATGGTCAACCAACGACGAGTATTCTCCAATTTGCTGATGATACTCTTCTCATTGGAGACGGGTCGGCGGCAAATATTTGGGCCTTCAAGGCTGTTCTTAGGGCTTTCGAGATAATATCTGGCCTCAAAATTAATTATTCCAAAAGTTGTTTGTACGGGATTCATACTGATCTTGAATTATTAGTGGCTGCCGAAGATTTTCTTCATTGTAAATCGGGAAAGTTACCTTTTAGCTTCCTTGGTATCACTGTTGGAGGTAACCATCGTAGATATTCTTTTTGGAAGCCGGTTCTGCTAAATTTGAAGAATAAATTATCCACCTGGAATGGGAGAAACTTATCAATGGGGGGTCGTGTAACCCTCATTAATTCGATTCTTGCAAATCTACCTATACACTATCTGGCTTTTTTCAAGGCTCCTATTAAGGTTGTGAAGGATATCATAGCGATCCAACGACGGTTCTTATGGGCTGGAAACTCGAGCAAATCTTCTATTCCTTGGGTCTCTTGGAATACTGTTTGTAAATCTAAGGAAGATGGCGGTCTGGGTATTAAGCATGTGGGTCGGTTCAACTGCGCTTTGTTGGCAAAGTGGCTTTGGAGGTTTCAAACTGGTGACAATGAAATTTGGAGGAACACCCTCACTTTCAGGTACTGTAACCTTAGCATTAAGACGCAAACTTATTCCGTTGTTGTGAGTTCAAAGTCTGATTCGTTGTGGATGAAGGATATTATGAACAATGCGTCTCTAAATCCTAATGCCAATTTCTGCAAGTACACGACATGCTCCGTTGGTGAAGGTTCCGAAGCGGCGTTTTGGCTGTCTGTTTGGATCGGTGAAGTGCCATTACAAGTCAGATTTAATGATTTGTACCAGAGTTGCTCTCTAAAGTTAGGGTCAGTCCGTGATATGGGATACTGGGAGGATGGGCAGTGGAATTGGAATTTGAGAAACTCGTTGTTGGATTCAGATAACCCTCCTGAACCAGATTGGTCTGACTGCTGTAAGTTGCTGGAAAATACCTCAGTTATCCCGGGTACAACCGACAAATGGCGGTGGAGTCTCCATGAATCTCAATCTTTCAAGGTTAGTTCCTTTTATTCTGTCCTATATCCCTCCTTATCTGACCAAGACGTTGGCTCAGATTGTGCTTCCCTTATTGAGTCCATTTGGAAGACGGATATTCCGGCAAAAGTGAAAACGTTCAGCTGGAGGTTGGCGCTTGATAGATTGCCTACGAGATCTAATTTATTGAAGAGAAGAGTGCTTGAATCCAATCAAGATTTGGATTGTGTTTTTTGTTCTAGTAGCATGGAGGATGTATCCCATCTTTTCTTCTCTTGTTATAAATCTAATCAGGTTTGGATCAAGATCTGTGAATGGGCGGACATAGATATAATCTCGGAAATTTTCTGTTTTTCTCACGCTAAGGTGTGGAACTCGAGCCTTAGAGGTAGGTGTCAAGTGAATAGAGTTAATTCGCTTTGGTTTATTACTTGCTGGACTATTTGGAGATCTAGAAATAATTGTTTCTTCAATAATGTAGTTACTGAGGTCGACAGTATTGTTTTCGACATTAAGCTTAACTCTTGGAAATGGTTGATTCTAGGTAGGAAGGGGAGTAAACCGTGTTGTCTGTACGATTGGTTCAAATTCCCCTTTGACTTTTTGTAATTTGTATCATGGTTTGAGATTTCCTTAATCTCCTTTAATTTTATCTGATTATCAAAAAAAAACTTGATATATTACAACATTGCAACCATGCAGATTTAACATTTATTAAAATTATGATGGGTATCTTATAAGTCCAACTCCTATGTTGGAAACAAAGATTGTTTATTTAAAGTACTAGATAGATAGGTTCACCATCTCTTGCATACATGGTTTTCTTCTGGATATCAATATTAAACAGTGGACAACAAGTCTTTCGGGGTAATCTTAGAGAAAACGTCTTCTGCTTTAGATTTAGATTCAAAACACCATCCATATTCAATATCAGGATTAGGATAATGACCGCAAAAGTTCCCACTTTCTTTCTTCCTACAATCCGCATCAGACTCACATAAGTTAGGGTGTTCATCGATGGTCCTCAAGAAAACTCCAGATGGATGTCTGCATACACCTACAAGTAGACCAGCAGGGATACATCGACAGTCTGTGGAGCGACATGGTGGCACTTCAAATGGAGAACAAACCCCATTGCAGCTTGCTGCTCTTACATTCTTTGTCAGGAACATGCCTGCAATTGGCAAAGCTAACATAAATGGAAATGCAAAATATATATGGTAAGAAAGTTGGATAAATTACGTACCGAATGTGGCAAACAAGACGACCAAAAATGCAAGTTTAATAGAAGCCATTGTTTGATCGAAAGTAAACCAGTTACTATTATTTGTTATGATGCATTAATTCATTCTTGTATGAAGCAATTTATAGAGAATTCGTTTCGATGCATGCATGATTATTTTGGGGGCTAGCGAGTGTGGCAATATACCAAAGCAAATCATGCATGTTTTTTGGGGGCTAGCGAGTGTGGCAATATATCAAACTAACACAGTGTGCATGGTGTTTTGTGGACTAAGAAGTGTCTAGTATATACAAAATAATTTATTAATGATAGGGAAAAAAATTCCTTCTCATTCATTCCAATTATACAGAATATTTTTCTTTAGGCAATTGAAAGGGTATATTATTAAGGAAACTGAAACAAATATCATTTCATTATTGGTTAAGCTAAATTATTTCTCATCAAACTCAATAATTATGATGGATCGTGGATGACTTATATTATTGTAGTAGTATGGAAAGATAAAAATATTTGTAGTTATATCTTAATAGATACTTTAATATTTATTTATACCAAGACCTCAATGGATACCTTAAAAACACACCCAAAAAAAAGCTAATATCCTACTTAAATAAAAGAAATAACATTATTTAAAATGTATGTCGTTCTGTGCTGGTCAGAGATTCATAACCGACTATTTTGTGTTGGCCAGAGGTCCAATAACACAAGATTCATTACATAGCTATTCCACCAGGTTTAAGGTATACTTTTTTTTACCTTCATTCTTGAACTCTAAACTGACATTGGCGTTGGAGTGCTAACAAAATATGTACCACATCTAGGTTCACCATATCGAAGACGACAACAACGTTAACAAAATCACATCAACATCGATACTTCTAGGAGTTGAGGGTACGACAAGGACGATGATGGTTTTTTAGAGAGAAGTGTTGTCCAGGTTAGTTTTACTGGGCATCATTGTACTGTCCAAAAGAGTACATGCTTTAGGGAACAACTCAAGTGAGGTGACACTTAAAAAAAATCAGCCATCAACCACTTGAAAATCATCCTATAAACGGAAATCTCACATCACAAAACTCATTTACTAACATGGCTGAAACACGCTGCTGGAGCATTCGTGGAAACTAGTTGCTACGTGAAAAACACGCCACTATTTTGTGGCAGGGTAATCACGTTGTAAACAATAAAATTATTTGGGTCACATTGCCACGTGAAAAATTCGGCACTAATTTAGGTCACCATAATCAACCGCAACAAAAACATGTATCGATCTGCAGCGTTTAAGTGTTACCAGTTAGTAATGTGTATTTCGCAGCACTAATTTATTGCAGGCTACACTATGCCAAAAAAGACCTTTAGCAGCGCTATTTTTGGCCTTTAGCGGCGCTTAAAAGCACTGCCTAAAGTGGCGCTGCTAAAGGTAAAGACAACGTTTTTTTAAGTAAAAAGCACTGCTATAGGCCCACTTTTAACAGCGCTTTTCTAGAAAAGCGCTCTCTTTCCCCCACCTTTAGCAGTATTTTTTTAAGCACTCTCTTTTCTCCCCCTTTTCCCCCTTATAGCAGCGCTTTCAAAAGCGCTCTCTTTTCCTCCCCCTTTAGCAGCGCTTTTTCAAGAAAAGTGTTGTCTTTTCTTCACATCATTGAATTTTTTTTTCAAAAAAATCACTTTTTCATAACGTTTTTTTGGTAAGAGCGCTGTCTATTTTGCATATTTTTACAAAGTGATTTTTGTTGAATTCTGTTGCACAATTCTTTATAATTTTTCCCATAAACCTGCTTATAACAATTACATTCACCACATGCCTTTATTTCAACACTTTGTCCTTATATATACCATAACAAATCAAAATATAAACCTTCTTATAATCATTGTAATCCAACACATATACCTGCTTTATAATTCTAAAATATATTCCAAAACCAATAACTTCACAAATATATTCACTATACATATAATTACAAATTTTATATTTCCGGATCCTCAAAACTATATACGACTTCCAAAACTATAGTTATCCAGTAGTATGTACATAACATTACAACAACACAAATCTCTATAAACTCCAATCAAAAAGACAGAAAGACAATATATATATATACCTTATACAATTCTCATCTCAAAAATGTATTGACACTTCCTCCTTAATTTCTTCCAATTTGTCTTTCGAGTAAGTACCACACTTGAATTTATCAAAGTACTATATAATATAACATTATATGCATGATTTAGTTTTAAAACTAATTACTCAAATGAAATATCGGTTAAATATATAGTAAAATAAATCATATAACTTATAAATCCATACCATGTTTGGAATCTCTATTTGACCCAAATGAATAATTTCCTTCATAAACCTCAATACAAAATATCCTCAATCAATCTCATTGCGCTGACGAGGACACTGTAAATAGAAAAAACAAACGAATATATATATATATATATATATATATATATATATATATATATATATATATATATATATATATATATATATATATATATATATATATATATATATATATATATATATATATATATATATATATATATATATATATATATATATATATATATATATATATATATATATATATATATATATATATATATATATATATATATATATATATATGGATATATTGTTTAACTAGTTTTATCAAGTAGAATCACTATAGCAATCAAAATTGTGAAAATATACCTGCACTCTGATCCAGTTAATGTTCACTACAAGAAAACTTGCAATTAGCTAGGGGTCTGGGCTAGGGGGGAAACCCCTCACTAAAATAAATACATTTGCTTGGGGTTAAACCTCTCGCAAAACACAAAATAGGGAGAAAAAAAATAAAAACAGTTAGCTAGGGGATACCCCTCGCAAACAAGGGGGGAAAACTTTTTTGAAATTTGAAAAATGCTTTACTAGGGTTCAGCGCAGAATTTGGTGGGAAAGGTTGAACATTTGCGAGGGGGTAGCCCCTCACGACGTCACGGTTTACAATTTGCGAGGGGTCTCCCCTCACCAATTGTCCTACTTTAGTCAAATCATTCTGAAAAGGTATTTATTTCTCTGCCAAATGGTCTGCCACACGCCAACATTAGCTAGGGGCATCCCCTCGCAAACTGCAACTATTAAATGTCCTCATTTCCAAACCTAGCAGCCATTTCATCTTCTCTTTCTTCTCCATTTCATCTTCTCCATTTTTCTTCTCTGGTTTTCTTCTTTCCTTCCATGTTTCACCATTTTATCCCTCTTCATAAAAGTGAGTTGTTTTTATTTATTTATATTATTTTCGTTTTGTATAATTTATTTTATTGTTTAGATTTATTAATTAATTTTTTTTATTTATTTGTTGTGTTGCATGTACTGTGGATAATATTATATAAAGCAATCTAATTTTTGTGAAGAAGAACTATAAATTTGGGAGAGCATTAGAAGGTACACACTTCTATTTTTTTAAAGATGTTATATATATTCTTATTTTGAGATTTATGTTGATATGGTGGCCTTTGATGTATAAAAAAATTTGTGAAGAAAATATATTTTGTAGAGAAAAATTTATGTTGGTAGCTGTTGAAATTTATTTTGTAAAGATTTTAATTAAAATATTAGAATTATATTTATATTATAAAACATATTTTAATTAAAAACAGAAAATTAGTATTATATTTATATTATTAGTATTATAAAACAGAAAATTAGTATTATAAAACAGATTTTGATATGGCGGCTGTTAATATTTATATTATAAAACAGATTTTAATTAAAATATTAGAATTATATTTATTAAAATATTTTATAAACATATTAAAAATAGAAACTTAGTAATATATTTATTAAAAATAGAATATTAATATTAGTATTATATTTATTAACATATATTATAAAACAGAATATTTTATAAACATATTAAAACATATTAGTATTATATTTATTATAAAACAGTATTATATATTTATTAACATATAAACAGTATTATATTTACTTTTATTACACTTTTAGTTATAAATTATTATTTTACAAAATATATATTTTTATTTATTATATAATTATATTAAAATATATATTTTATTATATAATTATATTATTCTAATTATAATTATATTTATTATAAAATGTAATAAAAATTTATTATATAATATATTATTATTCCAATATAATTATAATAATATAATTACAAATTAAAATATATATATATATATATATATATATATATATATATATATATATATATATATATATATATATATATATATATATATATATATATATATATATATATATATATATATATATATATATATATATATATATATATATATATATATATATATATATATATATATATATATATATATATATATATAT